AGGAGGCGATGAGGTCTATTCTAGGCTACACGAATGAAGCTTGCTATTTTTAGGAACAGAAAGGTTAATTAGAATGTAAGCTACCGAAAGTGATTTATGAATAATTGTTTTTCTTCCCCTGAAGTGTTTTCATGATGCAGATCCGTCACGGGTCTAATTGAGCCACCCACCTCCAGTTCCGATTACTACAGATTACAAAGGATTGAATTTTTTTGACAGTATTGCCTCAACTGCCAAGCCGCGACCGAATATGGACATGACAAATGGACGGTAAGTCAAATTCTCCCACGCCTTGTATCAAGTCATTATACTTCCTTGTCACAAGCATACCATTCAAATGTGCTTCAACAACTCATAAGCCGAATTAGTGCTTCTCTCCCGCCTTTTTAATCGTGTAAAAGAAGGCACAAAAGTTCTCCACGCAGCACTTACATTTATTGAATGACTAACTGAGGAGACAGCCATTGCGACATACAAAGGGATGCAAGGACGCAGTTTTCAATCGTCATTAGTTGTGACAATGCCACTGAGGATGGAGATGATTATGGAACGACGGAGGAGGCAGGCTCCAAACCTGACGCTGGAAGAGGAGAAAGGAGAGGGTGGTTTAGAGGCAGAAGAAGTAGTTGCACACACATCCATCAATCCATCCATCCATATTTAATCAACAAATTCACTCGGTCAACTCGATTCTTCTTCTACCATGAATATGTCAATCTACCTTCCTAGGCGTTCACCCCTTCATCCAAATCCATGCATCAAACCGACTGCTTTCAATCCCCTATCCGTCCTTCACCTATCGAATACAACACACCCAGTAATTTACAATCAGCCACTTTCATTAGCTTGTCTCCATTAACTAATTTTTATTACAAACAACTATCCATCCTTCCATTTACCCATCGTTTGACAAGAGCAAAGGAGAAATAGTTGAGAAGTTGATTTTTACCACCAATCGGTCTGCAAATCCCTTTGTTAGGGGACCAATTAACCTTGAAACAAAGAATGACAACAATTGTTGCAAGTTTTCGACCCATAATGCAATTTCAGTGAACATGGAGACGGACAAAATTAAGTCGCCTCGTCACCTATCACCTATCAACGCCAGCGAATAAGCGACACAGCAACCAAATTGCGAGGCAAAGTTTGTCTGCAAGGATTCATTTGTCCAAGTTTGCATGTGGCTACGTGGATTCATCACTCTCTGCAACCGCCTCCTCCTCCTCCACCACCACCACCACCACCATCA